ACGCAGTTCTTATTGTTATTAGGGAGACGCTGCTCCCCATCTCCTTGTTTCTTTCCCTATGTCACGTGTTACGACACCCACGGGACGTTCATGTAATGGATATTCTTACACTGCCACTACTCGGTTAACGGTTCATAATAATAATGTCCTCCAGACCGAATTGCCATCATGGCGGCCTAACTCAACGGAGACTAGCCATCTGCGCAGGACAGAACTATAGTGCCCAAGTGTATTCGCAAGCACAGGTGCACTCTTTATTACCTCATTCTCATAGCCCCATGGAACGGTATTCCGGCACGACCGGAGAGAGATCAGACGCAGAACCTTTGGCTGTACGTGCTTTCCGAGTCACGGGGATGAATCACTGCCAAATTCCTAACTCCGGGCTGCTTCTGAGAATGTCTTGACAGAAAAACACAAAAACTGATTTTGATCCGACCCGGAATTAAAACCCAGGACCTCATGATCAGCATCCGCGTTTACGGCCACTAAGCCAACGACGCAATCAAAATATATCAAACAGCTCTGTTCGGTAAAAAATACGTTTGACCCTACAGACCATCTCTGGAACTTTCCGCTAATTTCAATTGCTAAAGATATTAATAGTTAATTCGCAACCATCCGCTCAATTAAATACAATGATGTGTCTTATCTGTATTGAAGAGCACCTCCCGCCCTCCCTCAATTGCGTGCACCTATCCCATCACCACTACTCCCAATACCACTACTCCCAATACCACTACTCCCAATACCACTACTCCCAATACCACCACTCCCAATACCACTACTCCCGGCACCACTAATCGCAACACCACTATTCCAGGAAAAACACACCATCGGCCGATAATACGACACGTGTTTCGCCTCTACACGTGGTATCTTCAGATGAAGTAGACTCTACGGCAGCTGACCACTAGGCTTTGACTTAGCGGTCAGCTGCCGTAGAGTGAGAGATAGTGTGTTTTTCCTGGAATAATGGTGTTGGGAGCAGTGGTGCCGGGAGTAGTGGTGTTGGGAACAGTGGTGTTAGGAGTAGTGGTGCTGGGATCAGTGGTGACAGGATTCGTGCACGCAATTGAGGGAGAGCGGGAGGTGCTCTTCAATCCAGGTAAGGCACATCATTGTATTTAATGGAGTGGATGGTTGCGAATTAACTATTAATATCTTTATTATAATGGATTTCCACAAAGTAACGCCTGATTCTATCAATTATAATTGCAAATGCAACGCGCTCCAAATTCCACCAATTATATAATTTAAAGAATTCACTTTTTTTTTTCAAAATAGAACATTTCACGAACAAATCAACCGATTTTGTAAAACTTGACGGTGTTTGATGCTTTTTAAGCACTTATAATAAATTTATTACATCAAAAACATTCCGCGAAGAAATTTCAAAAAAATATTTTTTTTCGAAATTCTCTTCGACGCACCAATGATTTTGATGTGATTTACTGCAATCGACATCGTTTTTTATAGTTTAAGTGCTAATTAGATATTGGTATTGATCGTTACGTCTGTTTAAAAGTTATTTCCAAAAAACATTTTTTTGAAAATTTATTTTTAAGATTTCTCAAAATCTACTGATCCGAATTGGTTCAAATGGTTCTTTTAAATCGCTCAAGCCTTTACTCGTAAAAACCTATGAGAGGGTTACAGACGCAGTGACATCCTTGTAGGAATAGTCAGAAGGGCTTCCTATTACCTCAAAACCTCGAGATCTGATGAAAACTAGATTGTCGAAAATTGGGGTAAAATCAACAACTTACCGATTGTTTGAAAATCATTTATTTTCATAGCGGGAAGTTAAAAAGTAAAATTACAGCTCTTTATACGTTCCTCTCCTGGGTGTAGGGCAAGGAAGTGTACACCGCGCTGCCCCAATGCGTTTTGGTGGATTTCACATGTCTTCGAAATATTTCTTTAATTTCTCATGCATGCAGTGTTAATCACGATGTTTTTCTTAACTATTTAACACGTAAATGGGATCGAATCCGGGTTGCTCGCGTACTATAAAATTGACAGCGAGTGCTTAGCTCGTAAGCTTTCACAGCTCCTTATATCGATGTCAAAGAATAATGCATGAAGCATAATCGATGTAAAAGTGACGACCAATGAACCAAAGAAAGATTCTTACACTTGAGATACAATACAATTAAATTTAGAAATACAATTGCATTTCAAACTTGTTATAAAAATAAAAGCTTTAGGTGCGGAAACACTTCGGAATTCGGTTCGGGTTGACTCATTAGCACTACAAAATTTAAAATGAAATGAAAAACTTATTTTAACTATCAGCACTCCAAACTAAAATTTTGCAAATGTACAGTGTTATTAAAATAATTTTATTAAATAATCAAATAAATGAAAAACAAAGTCTCGAGCTCAGAATTTATGTAAAAACAAAAAAACCATAAATAATCAATATGAAAAAAAAGTTCTTAGAGCCTATTTTATGTAAATTTTTGCCAAGATTGATGCTATATGAGAAATCAGCGATATAAAACAAAATACGTCTTCAAAATTTGAAACCTGTAAATAACATTTTTTAAATTTAAGTGGTGAAATAAATTAAGAAAAACAGATGCTAAAGTCCCCGCATCCAAAAACAATCAACACCTGTTATGAAAAAACTTCACGAATTTTTAGACAACTTATAAACATTTATTCCAAAAATATATACATACATAAGCCTAAAATAATATATATCTTTGATATTGTTGATAGTTTGTCAGTAAAAAATAATAAACTCTAAATAAATGAGAAATGAATAAAAAATACAGTCTTATAAAAGACGGATAAAGCGATTATTTAGCTATTTGTAAATGCATTAATCCCGTTCCCATGGCTCCATTAGCGCCTGTCGGGCAATATCAGTCGAATGGACCGAATCAAATCGAACCTTGACACTCTATCAACGCGTCTCCTCACATATTATGGGTCTAGATAAATGTCACTATAGCACTATACGCCACTAAAAGCGTTCATAAAATGCTCTGTGATGATAGGTGCAAGGTGGTCCTTTAAAATGTATTATAATATCGACATTAAAATTAATTTACATTATTTCTTCAATTTAAAGTTATATTCGAGATCTTACATAATCGAATATTAATGAATTATTTTAATTTTCTTCATTTTATGTCGTTAACGAGCTCCAGTATCTCAAGGTTCGATGCTCGCGCTTTAATTTTATAGCACGGGTGCGATTCGTGTTTGAGCCTGCTCTGAGCAGCGTCACTGAAAATGTTAATCGTGATCATAGATGTCTAAAACTGTATGCTAAGGTACTAATTGAAAGGGTCATGAAAGAGACTGATGGAAAAATTTGGGATGTGCAGTGTGTGATTTAGAAGGGGAATGGGGTGCACGGACCAAGTCTTTTCCATGCGCATGATCGCGGAGAAATTTTTGGCCAAAAACCATATTTTTTGTGCGTGATAAAATTTTCATGTGCCTAGAAAGTGCTTATGACAGAGTGGACAGGAATGTTTTATGGCAAACACTGAACTCATTTGAGTTGAGCGTTGGGTTGATACAGGAATTAATGTCTTTTTATAGGGACTCTAGTGCTTGTGTTAGGGTCAACGGGGTGTATACTCAGACTGGTTTAGCATCCATAAAGGTGTCAGACAGGGCTGTGTGGCTTCACCGTGGCTGTTCAACCTATATATGGACAGTTGTTTGGAAAATTTGAAAGTTAAAGAATGTGGATTAAGAATGGGTGAGTTAACCGTCATACGCCTCCTGTACGCAGATGGTCAAGTTATTTTTGCACCGTCAGCGGCCGAGTTGCAAATGACGGTTACATTAATGAACAGATCATTAAAAGAAAGGGGTTTGAAAGTGAACGCAAGTAAGACGAAAGCTATGGTTTTTGAAAGAGAACAAAGTAAAACGATATGTGAAATAAGAATAGAAGGGGAGTTGTAGTAGATGAATTTGTATATTTGGGATGCGTCATTAGCAAGGATGGGAGATATGATAAGGATATAGAACGAGGAGTGAACGCAGGAAATAGAGTAAATGGGGCCTTACACTCTATTGTGAAAAGCCAGAATGTGTCAAAAAAGGCACGTATGGCAACTCACAATGCTATGTTTACTACTTTAACGTATGGTAGTGAAAGTTGGGTGTGACAGAAGAAGCACGAGTATAGAATAAATGCAGTAGAAATGCGGGCGTTAAGGAGTATGTTAGGGCTGAATCTGAGTGACAGGGTGAGAAATTGTGTGATAAGATAAGAGTGTGGTTTGCAAGATGATGTTGTGACCAGGATTAAGAAAGGAATGCTTCGGTGGTTTGGTCATGTGGAAGGAATGAATGAGGAAAGAGTGACAAAGCAAATTTATGTTTCAGAAAAGAACGGCAGAATTGGAAAGGGACGTCCGTCGACCAAATTGGCGATATATTGAAAATGGACTAAATTAAGAGTACCCTTAACGGACGAGCATGTATGGCATAGGTATGTGGGTGTAGAGGAGAGGAGAGAGGTGTGTCAGTATCGTGCCAAATGGAAGTCTGTAGTCTCTGCCTACCCCTCTGGTTGACAGGCGTGAGTGTTTATGTATTACGTATGTAAGTCTTTACCATTATTATTGGCAAAATTTTATTATAATTTATAAATGTATATTTCCTAACAAGTGCTTTTAAAAATGATTTTACTTAAAAATTTCAGCATGGTAGAAGAGTTACTAATACCGCTCAGAAGCTCCTATCAATATTTTCTATCACTGAAAATAAATTAATCAAAACAATTAAAACATTTAAAATAAAAATCAACAAAGTTTCGATAAATCTCACACGAAATAGCTTCAAGCTAGACTTATTATAGAAATTGCCAGTCATAAAATTAATTCACGTCTCGTGTTATAAAGGAAATAAAAGTAGAGATAATGAGATAAAAATAAAAGTGACAGAAATAAGTTTTTATATCATAACATTGTATCACAACATTATAATTTCAATTTTAAGAACTGAGAATAAAATTTTGTACTCACGTCATGGGTCGTATCACCATGATGGAAGCGCTCTTCGGTTTCGCGTACGCGTTCTGTGACGTTCCTGGTTAGTACTCGAAGATCGCGGCTTTCCCGCACCTTGCCGTCAGGGTTGGCAACCACACGAGAGGACACCAGCACTTTCGCACCGGCTGGTGCTACCTCTCCACCCACTTCTGGTCCAACGAGTTCTGCAAATAAAATAACCAAAATTATTTTATTTTTCTACCTTTCTTATAGAATTAGGGTGACAAACGAGCACATAGTCCACCTGATACGAGGGTGACACTGAAACTTCTTAGAAAATCAAAAACTGAACAAACTAGCAAGTTATTAGTTTTAGTACATCTTTTCAAAATAGTGTCATTTATATCAATACATCGCTGCATCCGATGGAACCACTGAGAAAAGCACTTTGCCAACTCGTCCTTAGGGGTCTCTTCGACGGCATTTTGAAACGCAGCCACAGCTTCCTCGGCGTCCATAAAACGTTTTCCTCGAAGTTTTTCTTTTATTTTCGGAAATAAGTAAAAATCGCAAGGTGCGAGGTCGGGGCTATAGGGCAGGATTCCATTCTGACGTCGCCAATTAGTCGATATTTTGTTTGACTGTGTGCGACGAGGCGTTATCGTGGTGAAGGAGGATCCAAAGTCGTTTCGTCGGTCGTTTCTCCCGAATTTTTTCCTGGTCAAATTACAAACAATTGTTAGTGTACCACTATATAGTAACTGTTTTACGATTCTCTAAAACAATTATTGCGTAATGACCTGTCCTTCCAAGGAACGAGGCCACCATCTTTTTTCCCACGCTTTGAACTCTCTTCACTTAAGTTGACCACTTCTCGGAAGGAAACACCCAGACAGCAGACTGTCTCTTAGTTTCAGGATCTTCACAATAAATCTAGCTTTCGTCACCCGTAAGTATGTCGAACACAGTATTTGAGTCACCTCCGTTCAATCTTTGAACCATTTTACGACAACAATCAACACGACGGAGTTTCGGACCTCTGTCAAAATATGAGGTATCCACCGGACGCAAAGCTTCCTGGCCGCTAAATGTTCATGGAAGATTTTGTGCACTTGACTCATACCGATGCCTAAGCGTGTTCAAATCTGCTGATAACTCACTCTTTTGTCAGACTCTATCATACGCCGCACAAAACTGATGTTATCTTCAGTCGTCGCCGTAAAGACTGCGCTCACGCAGATCATCGGTGAGATTAGTGCGACTATGTTTAAACTGATTAAACCAGTCGTAAACAGTGGCACGAGATGGGACTTCATCGTGAAAGACCAATCGAAGTCTATCATAACTATCTTGTTGACTTTTATGACACCGAAAGTCATAAAAAAATCATTGTACGAACATTTTTTGCGTTATATTTCGGTTGACGTGGCACAGACAATATTCAATTTGCCACCAAATCGTAAACAAATGACAAATGAATAAAATACATACACAATAATATTTGCAAAAAGATCCGTTTTCAAAATTTGAACATATTTTTTTAATTTTATCCTTTACAAGCAGCCAGTTCTAAAAACTTTCAGTGTCGCCCTCGTAGTAAGTGGATGATGTGGCTCATAGATATCTACATTTTATGATTATGAACTAAAATGCATAGATGCGTTGTCACCCCTGAGGACTAAGATGAAATGCGTCGTCTCCAGTAAAAGGGGATCTCCGATTATCTACAGACACCACACGAAACACAGCAGCATTAAGCTGCTATTTTACGCTGGTATTCAGAGAGCACGGTCAAATCCCGATCGAACCGACCCATTCGTACCACAACCATAATAGAGCTGCAGCTTAGCTCTGCCACGTATAAAACACCTATTTTATACCTATCACCTACGAGTATATCACTGTACTTATTCTATACGTGACAGAAATATGCGACAGCTATATTATGATTGTAGTACGATTAGATCGCGATCAATTAAAGACTTCACTCTTACAGAATACCAGCGTAGAATATCAGCTTTTTAATATAAATATGACAATTTCATATTAATATTATATTTTTTTTTTGTTAACAGGCGGAACCAGGGGAAGTGATTGCAACAACAAAAGAAGGTTGGTATGCAAAAATCTTGACAACCGAAACAAAAATATGATATGATTTGTAAACACGAACCACACGATATTAGCTTAACCAAGTTCCAAAGACGAGAATGGATGCTTAAGTTTTTTTTGTATGTTCACCGATTCTTTGGAAACGACTGGAAAGGTTTAGATGATTTTTCTTTTATTTTTGTTCTGGGTAGGCCATGCTGCTGCTATAACGTGGTTGTAGCACGGATGAGTCGATCAAGGAATAACCATCACAAAATATCTGCGTAAATTAGCAGCTTAATGTTGCTGTATTTCGTACGGTAAGTGTAGAAATCCGGAGACCCTTTTTACTGGAAACGAGGTATTCTATTTTAGTCCTCAGGGGTAATACGCATCGGCATTAGGATTCTTAATCGAGAAATAGTTGCAGATGTCTATATGCCGCAGTATCCACTTACTATCAGGTGGACTGTGTGCTCGTTTGTCACCCTGCTCAAAAATAAACTTGTTATCTCATCAGGGGTAGATAGCCTTTATATCTCCATCATTGAAGGCACCTCATGCGAGAATTAAGACCGTCCAATAATGTAGTTAATTGTATTCATTACCATTCTCTGGTGATCCAGTTTCGTTCGCATCTTCGATTTGAGCTCCGCCAACGGGTTTGCCTTCTTCGCCATCTTGGCCATCGGGTACACGATGCTAAATAAATCAAAAAATTATACTTGAATAAAAAATAAAAGCCTGCGAATTTACATTACTGTACTGTAATTGTATTTTGTCTTCAACTGTAGATCTACACTCTACGATTTTTTTATTTGATCTAAATAAAATTAATTGTTGATTATGAAAAACTACATTAATATTCTAAAAGTTAGATTTTTAGAGTTGGAAATTGGAAATTTTGATTATATCTATGGGTGTGTTTACTGCATCACCCCAGACGACGTGGGTAAAATCCTGTAATATTATTAGCGTCTAATATATGGCGTTAAAAGAGTTGGTAGCTGAGTAGGTACCTATTTATGTCGCCTAGTAGCGCTTGCACTGGTGCGTTCCTGTCTGAATAGAAAGCCAGTATACTCGTAGTAACAGGCTTTGAGGCCTACCATCTCAGTCCTCAGACACATCTGTAACCTTCTTTGTTTAAATTTGGCTACAGGTTTTACGTGGTAGAGGCACGCTGCAGCTATATTATGATTGCAGCACAAAAGAGTCGGCTCGAGCTGGGAAGGAACACGCTTTCACAAAATACCAGCATAAAATAGCAGCTTGATGCTGCTGTGTTTCGTAAGGTAAGTGTCGAGAACCAGAGACCCTTTTTACTGGAATCGTGGCATTCCTTTTTAGTCCTCAGGGGTGACTATGTATCTCTATTTTGATTCTTAATCGAGGTTAAATGTAGATGTCCATGGGCCGCAGGATCCACTTACCATCAGGTGGACAGTGTGCTCGTTTGTCACTCCAATTCTATAACAAAAAGTTATATATAGAATGCAGTAACCACTTACCATAAGATGAACTATATTTTGTCACTTCAGTTTAAAAATACGAATAAAAGATTATAAATGTGACACCGTGTTATTATGTGGATTGGTGAGCGTCTGGCAACTTAGCCGCAAGTTCCGAATTTAAATTCAGCTCTATAATTGCCAGTTTACATTATCTTAGTCATAAGGAAAATCATTTAGGAGAGTATATTAGTAGAAAGATGTAAACGGTAGCTTTTAATAATTAGAACATATTTAAAGTATTGCGCTCCTGGCCGCTCATAAACTTTTGAATTTCGAATGTGCAATATTTCTTTGGTTTAAAAATCTGCGTGCTGCTAATGTAAAGCACTGCGATAATAATATAAACCTAAAAGGTCATGTTATAAACCTTCGTAATCAAAATCAAACAAGAGGACATCATCATCGTATAATTTAAAAAAAACCGTCGACAAGCAGTCGCGTGCGAGTGATGGACTGATAAACAAATTTATGTATAATTTTTTTAATATACTACGATTTTAAAACGGACTACAAGGTATAAAATTATTTGCTCTTTTTTATACTCGTACATCGTCATCAGAGTCTGAGCTATGTTCAAAATTTCAAGCTTATAGCTAACTAACTCATCGAGAAGTAAGTTTAAAATCAATTTATAAATTCGTATCGAACAGACATCACGATAGCGTGTTAATAAAAACGTAGCAAAAAGACTATTTTCCATGAAAAAAGTTCCATTAACACACTCAATTACTTACTTCGGTTTGTTGAAAATTGGTGGTATGCGTGTCTTCATTGACGGAAGTTGATATCTTTGGTCCAGAGTCGCTGAGAATACGCCCATCTTCTAACACCAGTTCACGCTTGACTCTCGTGGCAATTTGCCGCGTAGTCGTCACCTCACTTTTTTTACGCGTCACCCATTCTTCTGTAAATATAACATTTATTGACATTAAATTAATGATACTTTAATTCTTAGCAAGTTAACATAGTTTGGGCTTAATAAGGCGATTATAACATTTCCAAACTTCAGGAAAATTCTTTACAAGTGCAATCTACTAATATTCTGAAAATCCGATTCAAAATCCCACAAATTATTGACAGAAAACAGCATAACTATAGTCAACCAAATCTAAGAAATACATTTTGACAACTGTCAGACTTATTGCACCAAGCATGCCAACCAAAAAATGGCAACGTACAATATTCGATTCCTAAAAAAATCGATATCGATTATTTAAAGTTCGTAATCATTTATAGTTTGATTTGAATAATACCAGAATAAATTAAAAACGGATAATTTAAGACACAAGATTTATCAGTTTCTTTGTATTTTTGTAACTTTCCATTTCTAGAGGCACAATTATAAACATTTTAGATTGAAACTAGAGTAAAAATAAATTTATTCAATCACTTTCAGTACAACAACTTGAGCTGTCGTTGTTTAGATTAATTATTATTTGATTTTCAATAATGCAGTCAAAATCAATATCTCGCAAAGTCATCCATAATCTTTTTTTCTACCACTTTTGCCTAATCATCGTTTTTGACGTGGGCACATGCTTCAACGAATATAGAAGAAACAATCCAAAAAGTTTAAAACAGAGTCACAAAATAAGAAGACAAACACAAAATCACAAAATTACGCACAATAAGCTCCCGCAATGGCGGGAAATTGAAATTACGTAGTGGTGTTTTTCAACGCGAAAGGACAATTACGAAATAATAGGTGATGGAATTATTAAGCGTCTACCTAAGTCACCTTTACAGATATCAATAAAATAATTTACTATGTATTTACTAATCAAGCTTATGGGCTATAGAAAAAGTAATCATACACAATTCAAAACTTAATGTACTAGTTGTTGTAATTGTTACGATTCGTCAGTTAAGACAGACAAAGGTCTTATAAAATATAGCCGAGTTTTACGTGTATTTTATTCAGAAAACTATTCTATATATACTAATATGTTCTTTAAGGATTCCCTCTATGCTAGTAACTACCCTTTATAAATGTTTATGAAAATTATATTGACTAGTTGTTGTTGTAACGATTTGCCTGTTAAAGCGTTTTATACCCTACAGCCTAGTCTGATGTGTATTTTGTTTAAACTGGAATATCTCTTATTAATTACCTCCTGCAGTAGTATGACCAAAGAAAAAAATGTTTAGGATCTTAAACTATATTTTCACATATTTTGCATTTGTAGACGCAAGAAAAAAAGTCAACTAAAAATTATTTTGGAGTTCGCTATTGAGTAAACTTTTTTATCTATGGTTTATGCATAGCATCCATAGCGTCCATGCAATTTAAGGAATTTTAAAAATAAAAAATTTAATTAAACAAATAATACATTAAAAAAAATTAATGATTGGATTGTTTGAATATTTTTAACGATTATTTGAATCTTTTTGCCGATTATTCGCATATCAATGAATTTTAATCATCCAAACACTACGGTAAGGCACATAGCGACATATCATTGAAACGACGTCACTTAAAAAAAGTTGATACCGGTTATTTTTTAATATTTTGCTTAAATTAAATTAGCGATAAAAACTAAACACGTTGTAATTAAACATAGATAACTTCATAATTCTTCGGATTTAGGTAAAAGGTTATTGTAAATCGTATGAGTACGCTTGTACAAAGTTATTGCGGAATGATTAATGTGAAACGTCAAAAGATATTTCTTAGATTTAGTTGACTAGTGCGTTTCAGTGCGGTAGGTACTCACTGCTTACGCCTGCCCCACACTGGGCTGAAAGTGGATTAATTTTTCAGCAGAACATTAGAAAAGACGAAGAAGAAACAGAAATAGATATCAACATGCATCATTAATTAGCCTTTTTATATACTAAATAATTTTATATTTTCATCTAGGTCGATTATTACATTTTTTTTAATTAAACTTTAAAAAAATGTTATACTTTTTTCTTTGTTCTAATACACATAAACAATAATTTCACATAATAGCTTCATTATTATGGTTATAAGTATATTTTAGTGTTATGTAAACGAAGAAATTGTTTCAAAAAACAAAAAAGTATAAATCTGTTTCAAATTATTTTCTTTTTATAGAATTATGGTGTCAAATTAGCACAACCAAACAAGCAAACAGTCCACCCGATAGTAAATGGGTGTTGTAACCCATAACACCTACATCTATCCTCGATCAAGAATCAAAATGCGAATGCGTTATCACCCCTGAGGACTACGAGAGAATGCCTAGTTTCCAGTAAAAAGTCCCTGGTTCTCTACACTCACCATACGAAATACAACAACATTAAGCTGCTAATTTACGCAGATATTTTGTGAAACGTGGTCATTCCCTGATCGACCCATTCGTGCTACAACCACGATATAGCTGTAGCATGGCCTACTCAGTACAAAAATAAAAGAAAAATCATTAAAACCTGTCCAGGCGTTTCCAAAGAATCGGTGAACATACAAAAAAAACTTAAGCATCTGATGTAGTAACTTCTCGTTTTTGGAACTTGGTTAAGCCAATATCGTGTGGTTCGTGTTTACAAATCATATCATATTTTTGTTTCGATTGTCAAGATTTTTGTATACTAACCTTCTTTTGTTGTTGCAATCACTTCCCCCGGTTCCGCCTGTTAACAAAAGATAGTAATATTAATATAAAATTGTCATATTTATATTAAAAACAAACCAAAATAAATCAAAATGATCAAAATAGTTGTATAAATTACATCAAAATAATATTATTGTCTTATTCTACAGCGCCATCTCTTACCGAGTAGTTAAAGTTAATCTCGAAGCCTCTTCGTTCGGGCGACCGAGACGTGAAACGCATAAGTACACGTGGTCGCCGCTTGATGGCGCCATGATCGCTTAATGTGAAAACTGTTACCATCAAAATTCATTAAATTTTCGCGAAAAGAATAAAAATAATAAGTCACCATGCAGAAAGTCCCAGTCCGTATTTACAGTTTAGTACACAAATAAATTTACACATTGATTTCTAAGCACCATTGCGAAAAAACTTGTTTCTGCACCATGAATTTTAACACTTATTAGCACCTTCGTAAACATTATATTTACTTTCGTATATATTACCTAAAAATCAAGTTGCCAAATGTACATTTGCAAACAATTACTTAAAATATCTTATTTACTGTCAAAACATCAGGCGTCTTTTCTAAGCGTCAGTAATTGACTGAAGAAAATCAAGGCTTAGCTGCAAATATAAATTTTATGAACCAATAGAGATTAACATTTTCTTTTGGCGCACTGTACTGTTCGTAACGCAATGAGCATTCAGCTTGTACACCTCTATTTCCGTTTGTTCTGCACGTTTCGAATTACTCAAATTCTATTTTCAATATTAAATAAATATAGAAATATACTAAAGCTTACAGCATTCTACGAGTACTACTCATATAAGTCAATCCTTTAAAGACATTGTTAAAATAATACGCATTTTAGGTACTATAGTCATTGAAGTAATATTTACTATAGTATTATACTTCAATGGCTATAGTTAACTGAGAAGATTCGTCTACTTGTTATTATTTTTAGGTTATTAGCTTATGTCCTTTAGCGTGGCTGATATTTAATATTCTTATATACATTATAATATATCTACGTATTTTATACTTAGTATATAATTAAGAATGTATTTAATTTTTTAATTGAGAAAAGTAACGGATTACATTTATATACATAGCGTAATAATATACAGTCACGAACATATAAAAATTGAATTGAATTGAAGATTGTTCAATAACAAAATCATTAAGTTAATTTATTGCAAGAAATAATTCATTTCACTATTTTCCGGTTTCAGTGGAGCAGTTTCATCAATTCCTATTGATAGGGTAGGGTATATAGGGTAGGTATCTAATCTCAAGATGAAGGTGCAGTATAATGATGCTTTCCGCGTGTTGTTCAGTCAGCCGCGATATTGTAGTGCAACTCAGGTGTTCGTAGAAGCCCGTGTGGCTGGTTTGGATGCTCTGATTTGTCACCGTATCGCGCGATTTAGAAGTTCTGTTTTTGGGTTGCAGAATAACCTTATTAAAGTTATTTTAACATTTGTGTATTAAGTGATATTATTAGCAGTTGATGAAAATTATTAACATTAAAACAATTTAATTAATTAACCAAAAATAAGCATTAATATTTATGGACTAAAATAAAAACTCAATTTTCTAATAGATCATTGTTGTTTGTATCAAATATATTATTATAATATCTCAGGTATACTAAAGATAACCTAACCAAGTTTTAGAGATTTTTCTTTTTCCACAACGATTGTAATGCGCTCGAGACGTTCAATTACAACCACTCATCATGTTCACTTAATAGCTTAGTACACTTGTATAACCGGCAAGTTCAAGGTCAGGCGTAAAGAACAACAAAAACGCGACATTGATATAACGTCTCAGTTTAATTGCGTAGTGCCTTGTAATGTCATGGTTTCTTTTCTATATCTAGTAATGATGACAAACTAACACTCACTCCACCTGATGGTAAGTGGACGCTGTGTACCACTGTTATTATATACAAGCGTGGCTCTTCCCCGTGGAGCCGACATTTATACTGAAAAACTGTTTCGCTAAATCACCCTAAAATAAATTATAAAAATTAAACATTTAAAAAGTAAACGCGTTCTCCTTCTTCAAAGGACTAAAATGAATCAAAACGTTCAAGTAATAACTTCAAAAGTTCCCGTCTTCAGAAGATATTAGGTGGAAAATATGTTATTACTTTTAGTTCTCGGAAAGTCGGCATTTACTTTTTTTAATGTTTACATTTGACCTTTTGAGCGACTACCTCTAAATAGTGAATTCAAAATGCAGCCTTCAGCTATTTTTTCATTGAATGAATTGGTGGATTTTTTTTTCCAAATTTATATTTTAGGGAACCATCCCTGAAGGTTAACCTGTTTAGTAAAATAGAATCATTTAAAAGTCAGTTGCAATTGACGAAGATAGGATAACATACATACAAAAAAAAGAACATACAGTCAAATTTAAAACGTTCTCATTTTTATAGTTTATGTTAATAAAAAATATGCTTTGCTTAATTGCGAAGTTTGCTTTAATCCTTTCGTGACGCCTCTAGATCTCTGATTCATATCACAAATACGGAAACCGATATAATGCACTATATATAGCTAACTATGTAATTATTGCACGTGGCACGTGTGAGACACCACGACCGCGCCCTTGTACGGTGGGCAGTGCAGCGCGACGCATCACGAGGCCATGCATTGTTGATGCACCCGGCTGTATGCGCCGCTCATTGTATTCGTTGAATTGGGTCACGGCTGTTACTCCCGCTTCAGTGAAGAATCACTATCTAGCAAAATCTTTCGCTATTGTTTTTTATAGGCCTGTATCTAGCGCGTTTATTTACAACCAGTAGGTTAGAAGATAAATGATAAAAACAAAATTTGTAACGGTCTGCAAAGCAAATTCATACGTGGTAAAGCCACGCTACAGCTATACTATGGTTGTAGCACGAATGGGTCGGTTCGACCGTGGAAGGACCACGCTCTCACAGAATACCAGCGTAAAATAGCAGCATAATACTGCTGTGTTTCGTATGGTGAGTGTAGAGATGCGGAGACCCTTTTTTACTGGAAACGAGGCATTCCGTCTTAGTTCTCAAGGGTGCGTTTAGATTCTTAATCGAGGATATATGTAGATGTCTATGGGCCATAGCAACCACTTACCATCAGGTCGACTGTGTGCTCGTTTGTCACCCTTCTTCTATATAAAAAATTGAGATTCGTTTTAAACTAATAAATAAAAAAACAATATTGCCCGGTCTCGAAACGTAGAAATAATTGTGAAACAAAAAATATACGAAAACCAACACAAACAAAGGGTGTGATCTAACAAAAGTGTGGTCTAATGATTGAATACCAGCCCTACAAAACATTTATGCAAAAACATATTTGTTTTGTGTGATGAGGGCTGTTTGAATGAATTTTATTTTTTTGTAAGAGGGTTCATACAAGCACGCGGCTTACCTGATGGTAATTGACTAACACCGCCCACCATGTCTGCTGTAGACCACACGATCATTTGTAGTCATTAGAGCAAAAACGCCCTCTTTGATATAAATACCTTGCATTCAATTAACTATATAATGAAATTTATGTTTGTAAACTACCCCCACGATACAGGAGAAAATCCTAGTGTGGAGGTAACGTTTAAAAAAGTGGTTATTGCGGCCAATGGACAACTGCAACCAACGAATAAAGAAGTTTTAGGTTTCACTTCTGAGAATTAAAATGTAATGCTTTAGAGCCTGTTGTTATACTGGGTCTCTTGTCGTTCAAACAGAAACACAGCAGCCTGGGCAGTAAAAAATTATTAAAATATATCATTTGATCTAGTCCTTTTGCGATACTACTGTTAGTGGACCGGTTCTCTACACCGTATTCTACACTCGCTGCTCCAACCCTATGCCATACGAAACACAGAAGTTTACTTTTTTGGCCTCCCTGCATAGTCTAAAACAAAAGAAGTAAGGAGATAAAGAAGAATAATCTAGATACCAAACGCATACATACCGAAATTTTGTATGTTTACATGCAGTTCACAATAACACGGAGAATCGGTACTCCCCTGAGAAGACCTCCTGGTAAAAAGGTTGGCCTTGAGACCCGATACCCGCGGGGTTGTATAATAACACCTGCGACCGACGACCCACTGACTTAAACATAGAACCATTAAGCTGCCATTTTACGCTGATATTTTGAGAGAGCGTGTTCCTTTCTTGGTCGGGCCCTGCTGCAATCCCAATTAGATGCAGAGTGTCCATCACGTCAAAAGATGCATTCAAAATATCTTCGTCCAAGTGTTTGTACAAACATAGATGACCTTTAGAAGAAAATAATCATCATAACTCCGTTTTGAAAAAAAAATGGTGTGTATCTTCCTTTTCTTTTCCTTTTTGTGTACCTTTCTAATTTAAATCCTTTTGTTAACCCTAATATAATATATCATAGAGTGAAACAATGAAGTGTTTTAGGTAGAGTCAAGTAGAGTGCAATATTTCGACCGTCTCTTATATAGAGTATCTCCTTGTGCGAGCTTCAGACAATGGGTACTGCAGCGCTATCTGACAAGCATCTCTCCAGCCGACGCAGTGGGGTGGGTTCTTGGTTAATAATTAATATGCTGTTATTTGGCACATTTGGGCGCGACCCAATCAACACCAAAAGCTATTAAAAGGTCTTGCACATTAAATTATATAAAAATTCAATAACTATTCGTGTAAATTATCATTACGTTTAAGATGCGAAAGTTTTTTAACTTAAATCCGAGAATAAAAATAAAATAACGGTTAGCCATCCTATAGTCTTTATTGTTTCTTCCGATTTCTCCTCATTAATGGGCGAAGCACGTGATGTGATTCGAATGATCGAAGATATGTGTGCATTTTTTTGTACAGGTTAGAGTGATAGTTATTGTGTACGCGGTTGTAAGAGGGAAGTAATATGCTTATCTTACCGCATTAATTATCTATTGATCTCTTAAATTTTATACCATCATGGTCGTCCTATGACCTCTGTCGTAATTTACGATCGCAGTTATTAAATGAGTAGTTTAGAATTAACTGTATAATAAAAAGCTCAATCCGCAATATAACACGAGCTTATAATATTTAAACATTTTATTTATTAGATTGTGGGACACTCGGAGGACTCTCCTTGCAATGCATCCTACATGCGACGTAAAAAGATATGTATTGGAGCTGAAGGAATAAGGGGAAGAATAATCAATGCTCGAAGGTCTGCCTTATCATCATCATTACAATTTACAACCCATCTCTGCTGATCATAGGCCTTCCTCATAAATTGCAACAAAACTAGGTCCTGAGTCAACTGCGCCCATT